AAAAAATGCAAAAAGGTACTTAACGCCCGCGAAAGTGCCCAGAAGAACGCCTGTTGCTCCACCAATCATTGCACCCATCATAAAACCCATCTTGAGTTTTGCCCAACAGCTCGGTTGTTGCCCACCACCAACCACATGATGTCCGTAAGAAGCAGGCATGTTCACCTAAAACCGTAAAACGACTTGAAGACTTAAAATTAAAGCGCAAAACGCACTGCAACGATATACAAGTAAAATTTGAGCGGCAAGTTTCAAAGCATACTTTACTGACAGTCCTGGAATTCAGTAGAGCAACAGAGGAAATACCATAGACAGAAATTTTCAAAGTGCTCAAAAACACACAATTCATGAACGAGAACAAAGCCTGATTTCTTATGTCTATCAAGAAATTATAATACTAGGCCCTGTTAAATCGGAAAAAAAATATTACTCAGTAAACCTGCCTTTATCTTGCAAAAAATGTCTGCTACAACTGTCACTGTAAAATCAAGATACAACGCTCACTGCTCGACGAAAGACCAGTGACATCTCAATTAAGGAAACAACCGCAATGAATATCATCAGATGACAGTTTTGAATCAAAATACTAAACAGTAATTGTTCAAACATACCAAGAGTCAGTTTTATTACAAGGGACTACTATTCAAGAAGAAATTTGCTAGAACTACTTCTAAAATTACGAGAACAAACAGATGTACGACTACCACGCCAACCGAGCAACTACTTGAGTAACTGGCAGCAAGTTAAAGTTAAACAGTCAAACTATTAGCGAAACCCCGTTAAAAACAAAAAATTCGGCGGAAACTCAGTTGGCAATTTACCAGCTGTTAAGTATCAATAATTTCTGCCATATGTCACAGCACAATATTACTAAGTCCTTTTAGAGAGCCATGACTAAGGGATAGCCGAACTTACCGAAATCTTTACAGAAAGCTTTATGCTAACAAATAATCTAAAAAGCTTTTTAGGAGAATCTATACGCAGGCTGACATCATCAAGCATTAGACAATTATGCGTCAAGTGATTGCAGTAGCCACTGGCAGTCATAACTCATATCCTGTTTACGATCTGATCCTTATTATAGTGTCGTTCCCTATTATGGAAAAAGCCGTTTACCAGTAATTGGTGGATGGCAACTGGTGCTTATCCTACATTCAGTCTTCTGTTGGTACTAGTGGACTTCTCGGGCCTTCTCCTTCAACCAGCTGGAGGCGTAAAACGCTCCATATTGAGGTCTTTAAACATTTAAAGACTTCTCAAAAAACAGTGAGCAAGTACAGTCAGTTTATTTGAAAAATAGCATCACGAACAGTGAAAGGTATATTGCGAGTTAATTGAGCAAATAGAATTGTGTGTTATGTTTAAAAATTTCTAAAAAAATAAATCATTTGCGGAATTCAGCAAACTTGTATGAGGCTTTTTACATACAGATTGCTTCGCTGGGAAAAAGACAATATGTTCTTTTAGGAGTAGTATATATGATGAGCTAACTTTATTTCTGTACTTTTATTTAGTCATCTATTTCGTTAGGTTTATACTATTTCATAAGAACAATGTACATTTAGGTAACAGTCGAGAACAAGTAATCAGAAAAAATAAATCTTTCAGAAACTCAAAATATCCATACCGAATCTTGAACGAAAAAAAAAAAAAAAAGAAATGAGATAACGTTGTGTCCAACAGTTATCCATCTTTCAATAACTACTAATGCCATTTCGATCGACTGATTTTTGGCTAAGCAGTCGTATGCGTTGCAAAGCAAGGTTCAATTTTTTGCCATTAATAGCAATCTTGCTGATCCTCATTTTCTTTTCGACAAGAACGCCAGGTGAAAACTTAATTTTGTCATTAAGTTTTACTGTCACCAATATCAATATATGGTCATTTATTACAGACTGCTAAGGTCGCCTTTAGACATTATATATATAGATAAACAACACCGTTGGTACATGGCTTGATGGATACAATTTCCAATGCTATAATCCAAAGAAAGATATATAGGAGGAAGATATAATATTATTAGTCAAAATAACTAAGCCTTACCTACTTGTCCTCTGCTACATTGCATTCGGATCCAATGACTGCTAAACGATTAAGTTTCTAAAGGATTATTGGTTCAACAACAGTATTAGTACAGTACCACTTTTAGATATCGGGAGAAGGCTGAAGTGCGAAAATCTTCGCACCTGTTCTAGCTGTTTAACAAATGGCCAAGTTTGTAGGTTTGTTGACCCATTAATCAAGCCAATAAAGAGGCAAGAAGAAGTTTTAAGTTCCTCCTATTAAATAAAATACTGCAGCTGATTCTTTTCAAATGAATCCAGCAGCACATTTCTTTCGCCTAAAGAGTTAATTGAACGACCAGTGTACGTGATTTTTTATTTAGAAGGACCTTTCAGATGGGACCTTAACAGTGCTAGCTGCAAGAAGCGTCCTTATTTTCACTTCTTCATTTCCTGTGATATGAAATTCGCAACAGACTGTCCGAAACCGGTGAAACCAGGATTTGAGTTCAACGCAACATTTACCAAACTAATAATGTATCGTATAGCAGTCGCTGCTTACGTAAATAACCCAACAAAATGTCTTAGCCGTTTTGCTGACGATGTCGTTGTATGTCTAATTGTTTTTCCAAAGTATATGTCAACTGATTCAGCTCAGACTTTTTTTTCACCTCTTAGTTTAACTCTAGGAAGGGCTATTACATGGGGAATGTTTTAAAAATTGGACAAAAAAGCGAATGAATGCATTAAGTTTTTTAAAAGTCAGAAAGTAACTTGAAAAAAAAAAAAGAAACTAGACTCTAAAAAACGATAAAAAAGTTAAAAACAAACATTGTGCTTTTTAACAGGTGGTAAGACAAATTTCTCGACCGTGTATCACTGCATTCATTTACTGTTCCGGCTATACGGCAGTATCCAACAGTAAAAAAGCCATAATGCTCTCATTTCGGTAAGTTTGCTTTAATGCTTCATAAAATGTATGTATTTCACGCAGGAGCATCTCAACTAGTGGACGACAGCAAACAGCAAAACGTAGCAATTAGAATGACGAATAAACCGAACAACAAAAAATATAAATATGTCGTACATGAGAAATCCAGCAGAAGCTGTTAACGCTTTGAATAATTTCCAGAGCTACAACGTCGCCAACACAAGGACTCGCTCAACTATTCTTTACGCTACTCTCCGCAACTAAAATTTCGGGAGGTGGAATGGTCTGTTGTTCGGAATTCTGTCCAATTTTTTCAGGCTTATTCGCTAGGCTGTTTCAGTCCAAAGAGTTCTAAACCTTCAGTATACAATATGGTATACAAACCCAGTATACAATCTAGTTAGGGGAACAGTTATGCCGCTTTAACCTCAATTTCAACATGATTACGGTTGAGCTATGAGTTATCTCTGGCAAAAAATTCCAAAATTTTCTTGTAATTAAAGCAAATTTTCTATATCAAAC